GATTTCCCCTGAGGGTGATGGCGTCAGGGCGCTGTCATCTGCCTCTGGGGTCCCTGTGTCTCGGTCCCTCGCAGTCCTTCCTGACTTCGGCTGGCAGCCTCGGTGACAGTGCACACGCATATGCTGCTCCAGGAGCCGGAGCTGAGGACAGAAACACGCGGATAAACAGCCTTTTCTAAACACAGTGAGGCGGGCGGGGGATTTAGCTCAGTGGCACTGCACCTGCCTCGCAAGCACAAGATCCGGAGTTCAATCCCCAGTACCAAAAAGAAATAAAAAATAAAAAAATAAATTGAACACAATGCAGAGAAACCAACGAGCGGATTGACCAAAGGGCTGCGCCTCTCTTCTCGCATCCAGAGCAGTTTTAGGTCCCAGCTTTAACCATGAGCTCAGTTTCCTCATCCAATGCTCTTTCCTATGTGTATGATGTAAGAAGTAAGAGTGATTTTTTTCTTTTGGTACTGGACCTTGAACCCAGAGTCTATGCACTGACGACACCCCCAGCCTTTTCATTTTTTTCCCCTTAAAAATTTTGTTTTAATTAGGACCCGTTTTCCATACATAATGATCACATTCACCATGGGCATGTGTATCTGTGTATAGTTTATTTTAATTCTTCTTTTTTCCCTCATTCTTTTTCCCTCCCGTCAACCTGTTCCCCTCATTTACAGAATCTTTGTTTCCCATTTTCCCTTCCATTCTCTTTTAAAATCTCTTTCTCCTCCTTTCCCTTCCTCACATCCCTTTCCATTTAAATGAGTTTGGTGGAGTACTACTCTGCCATCAAGAAGGGTGCGCTTGAGACAATTTTAGGTAAATGGATGCTTCTCAAGACCATAATTTTAGGTGAAATAAATCACACACAAGATTAAATATCATATTATTTCTTTTTTGTGGGGAGCCCAAAGGGTAAATAAAGAATAAAAAGGAAGATAGATACTGGGAAGTAGAAAGAGCCTTTTCATTTGGCACAGACTCGCTAAGTCATTAAATTGCCTAGGTGGGCTCAAACTCCCTGCCTCTGCCCTCCAGAGTGCTGGATTACAGGTACCAGAATGTTAACCCCTTAAAAGATCTGTGTCAGAGAAGCCTCAGGAGGAGGTGCTACCCTTAAATGATCCTATTATTACTCAAACTCCTTGGAACTGACTGTAGGTAACTGTGGAACATCACGTGAGACACGCACGGTGATAAATCATGTTTGTGACCTTCTCTGGATGGATTTTCTTCTTGGAAATAGTTAAGATTCACCCATAAACAAATCAGATAAATGGAGTGGGTGAGTAAGCTGATTGGTGTTATCTAGGAGTCAGAAATGAAATATGATCTCAACAGAGCAAAACTGTGTGTTGAGTTCGCAATTCAGGGACTTGTCCTTGAAGGCAGTTTGAAGAGGAGACCCAGAGAGGATTGGCCCGTGGATGAATGTTTGGAAACGTTCTCTCTGTGGAGGGCAGGAGAATTAGATTGAAGGTCACCTTCATCTGGATTTTTTAGTTCTGCTACGTTCACTGAGAAAATACTTTCTTTACTGACAGTAAAGAACACTAAAAACTTGCATTTTAGTGAGACACGAGGTGCAGCGACACCACTTGTCACAACACCCTCTTGACAGGAACGATAATTTTAGTTCCATTGAATCTTTTCACAATCATTGAGCAAGAAAGTGTACCATGCGCATACATGTACATATTATTTTACTTAATCCTAACATCTGAAATAGTAGATACTCTTATCCCCATGTTACAGGTGATCAAACAGATCTAGAGATGGAAAAATCTCAGATTTCTCAAGACCACATAGCTAGGAAAGGGAGGAATTAGAATTTGAACTCAGAATCATCCACCTCCAAAGTCTAAGCTTCCATCACATTGTTATTCCCGAATAAGGGAAAAATCTTTGTTGTTGTTCTTGAGAAAGGGTCTAATATGTACTTCCAATATAGCCTTGAACTCACTATGTAGCCCAAGCTGGGCTCAAACTTTCAATCCTCCTGCCTCAGCCTCCTGAGTGAGTGCTGGGATTATAGGCATGCGCTACCATGCCCAGCCCAATCAGGGAAAAATCTTGAACTCGATCCTCTAGGACCCTGGAACTCAAATATTACAAGCATTTGGAAGGAGGAACGCTACAACTGAGCTTCAGCAGTTTGCACTCAACAGAATAGCAGCACTTCAGTGCTCTGACTGCATGAATTTCAGCTCTGGGTTAGGAGGAGAAATCCGTCCAGGCAGGAGCGGCCCAGGCAGCCCTCGGGAACCTTCTGCCACCCCGCTCCTGTCCAGTTCTCATTCCACCAATGTAGACGGGAAAGGAAGGACGCATGGAGGAGAGGAAGAGGACTAGGGATAGGGAGAGGGACAGGGGAAGAAGGGGACAAGGAAGAGGGGAGAAGGGCCAGGCAGGGTGGGGAGGGAGCAGATCTCCACGAATGGACCTCACAGCGCAAGTCGGCCTCCCACGCAAACATTTCCCATACTGGCCCTGACAGTTCTTGCCTTCGGAACAAAATGTTCTCTGGGAGCCCTGGCGGTGAACCTTCAGTGGGAGGGGAAGGAGCCACTGGTTCTCCTGGCTGCCTCCTTGGAGAGAACATGAGGAAAGGAGCGACCAAGGACTTCTGAAAGGAGCGACCAAGGACTTCTGAGCATCTTCTTGGCCTGACATTGAAATCCCACCTCTCTGAAGACCCTGTGTCGTTTCCCGCTGGGGGTCTGGGGAAGTGACAGGCTTCTCTCTGAAGTGGGAAGGGGTCCCTGGAAGAGCTAATATAGGTGCTAGTGACCTCAAATCTTGCTTTTTTTTTTCTTCTTCTTCAGTACTGGGGTCGAATGCAGGGCCTTTGTACTGAGATATACCCCCGGTGCTTCTTTTATTTATATTTATTTTGAGATAGATTTGCTGTTATCCAGGCCGGGCTCAGACTAATGATTCTTCTGTCTTAGCCTCCCAGAGGGCTGAGATTACAGGCGTGCACTACCACACCTGGCTCTGGGCATTATTTTTATGAAGAATAAAAAAATAACAGCATCTGTGGAAACCTAAAATATAGAGGGAGGGGGAGAGAAGGGAAGGGGAAATAAAAAGAAGGAAAATGTGTTAGGTATGTGTACCAACCCCCCGTGAGGAATGTGAGCACGGGGTACTATAATAGGTACTAATAAAAATAAAAATTAAAAAAGAAATTTAATATACAGAATTTAATTTACAGAATAAAGTCCCAGACCAGTTTTTCAGAAAGCATGTGCGCTCTTATACTTAGAAGGTTATGAAATAAATCAGGACAATGAGCAGGTGAGGAAGGCTGAGAAATTTAGGAGGACCTTTTGTAAAGTCTGTAAGCTTGAGACACACAGAAGGGCTGTGTTTCCCACTTCCCAAGAGCCCAGAGGTCCCCGTAGGAGGCCTAGGAGGTCTAGGAGGCACCATTAGTTTCTTAACTCAGGGACAGAAAGAGAAGAGGAGAGAACCAGCCTGGGGTTTACATCCTTGCTTCCGTCGTGTGGACAGGCCAAGCAGCTGGGGTGCTCCTGATTCCTTTGTCAAGTACAGCAACTTTGACCATATCCTGTTTTGTTGGTTTTTTGAGACAGGGTTTCACTAAGTAATTCAGGCTGGCCTGGAACTCACTGTGTAGCCCACGCTTGCTTCAGACTTGCAGCGATCCTCCTGCCTCAGCCTCCCGAGTGCTGGGATTATAGGCACGCACCATCGTGCCCAGCTCAGTTTGTACATCTTGTCCTAAGGGCATTCGGTTGCTCAAACTGGGACACCTGCAGGCTTTCACAAAGAGCTTTGTTCCTGATATCACAGCTGAGAGAACCAGCAAGAACTTTGCCCAATTCTCCTGATCAGAAGCCAGGGAGAAGGCCCCTCTGGCCTGCCAGGGCCCTAAGAGATCTGGTGAGGTTCCTGGTTTCCCTGGGCCTTGAGCCTCCCGTGTCCCACCTGGCTGAGCTCTTTCAGGCCCCAGCTCCCAGCCAGTGCAGTGAGCGGAGGGGGCCTGGGCCACTTAGAGCAGGAAGGGCCTAGCCTGGTGCGGTCCTCAGGGTGTCTGATTACGGGGGCGAGGCTGCTGCTAAGGCAGCACGGTCAGCACTGGCAGGTGGTCGCGTCACACAGAGCCGCCCAACCTCCCTTCTCCTCCCAGCAAGGAAGAGAGCGGGCGGGCATCCCTCACGCTGCTCTTCCAGGGCTGCAGCCAATCTGGGGGAGCCTCACTGTAAGACCTAAGTCTCACGTCCACTCTGAGGAGCGTGAACAGCCGAAAGGGCCTCCACGATGCTGAGTCCTATGGCGCAGCGAGGGCTCCGGAGGCAACACCCAGGGCCTTACTTCTAGGAGCCTTGAACAGCCCAAAGGGCCTCCACGATGCTGGGACCTATAGCTCCGCGAGGCTCCAGGAGCTGGACGGAGGAATGAGAGTCACCCAGGAAGGAACACACCGGACTAGTTGGAAAACAGACCTTTATTAGTCTGGCCAGACGGCACTCTCAGAACTGAGCAGCTCAGAGAGGCCCCGCAAAGGGTTAGCACAGTTTTTTAAAGGCAAGGAAAGAGGATTGCAAGCACAGCAAGTGGGCCAGGGGTCAGGGGGCCGGTTTTCTGCCGTCTGTCTGAAGGAGCCAGCTATACGGGGCACCTGGCCTTTCATCTCCAGACCTCAGGCTGTTCTGTACTAACCAGGCCTTGAGTCGCTATCTTGTTTACCTGTACCAGGCTGCCATACACTCTGTTTTAATCTTATGTTGGAGCTGGGTAGAAAGAAATGTGTGCTGCTATGTGCTGGCTAACTAGGGGTTACATAGCGGTTAGAGTCCCACATCAGGATGCAGCCCAGCCTGACCCTTCCTCCTTCCTGCTCCCTCCCCGGGGCTGGGAAAAGGAAGGGCTCCAGGGCACGGCTCCGCAGCAGGCAGCACTCGGGCTCCTTCCTGCCCCTCCCTGCGGGTCAATGTCTACACCAAAGCAGCGGGGCGATTCTCTTCCTCCCGCAGATTCCATTGTGATCGTCTTTTGGGTGAGCCTGGCTGTGTTTGTGATGTTCCTCTTCCTCATTCTGCTCTACATGTCCTGGTCAGGCTCCTCACAGATGAGGTAAGTGGGAAGGGGTGTGGTGTTCAGATAACTCAGGCCTCAAGAGCGAGCAATAGCACAGAACAGCCACCGGATGGAATAGTATGCAGCCATAAAAAGGAACAGAGTACTGATTCACACTGGAACGTGGGTGTACACAGTCACGTGCCACATAATAATGTTTTGTTCACCACTCCTGCACATTCAATGGTGGTTCCATGTGATTCCATCTCCTAGTGATGTCTCCTACCTTTGTCTGCCAGTATGCCCCATGACGTTAGTGCAGTGACAGAATCACCTGACAGCCCGTCTCGGGATGCATCCCCGTTGCTAAGCAGCGTATCACTGTGCTTAGCAGCAGCATTCTGAGAAGCCAGACCCAGAAGTCCACAGAGTACGACCCCACTGAAGTGAAATGTGGGGAAAGGCAAACCCATACAGACAGGAGGCAGAGCGGTGCTCACGTAGGGCCGGTGGGGAAGTCAGGGGAAGGCAAGGGCTGCTAGGGAAGGGATGATAGAACTGTTTTAAACTGGATGTGGTGTGCATGTCTGTAATCCCTGCACTCTGGCAGGCTGAGGCAGGAGGATCTTAAGTTTGAGCCTAGTGAATTAGCGACTTAGCACCATCCTGTTTCAAAAATATTTTCTTAAAGGTCTGGGGATGTAGCTTGTGGTGAAGGGCTAGGGTTCAATCTCTAATACTACAAAAACAAACAAACAAACAAACAAAAACCCCCAAAACAAACCTGTTCTAAAATAAGGTTATAGCAACACTTGCACAGTTGAATAGACAACTGAATTATACACCTAAGTGGGTGAACTTTATAACATGTAAAATACATCAAAGCTATTAAAGCAAATAAAGCCCAAATGGTCCCATGTGCAAATGGAGCAACACACACACACTCACACACACACACACACTCACACACACACACACACTCACACACACACACACTCACACACACACACACTCACACACTCACACACACACACTCACACACACACACACACACACACACTCACACTAATGGGACCCTAACAGTTTTCTGTGGTCACCACCTCACCCCATCCTGCCTCAGTAAACTGAAGGTAAAATTTAGTAGCTCCAACTAGTAATGAGAACTTAGCTCATTATTTTCTTTTTATAGCAAAACATTTATGGGTACATTTTAGGCATACGTGATAACACTCATTATAGGGAATTCGCACCTCTGTGAATTTCTCATTTTCTCCCCTCCCTGTGTACAGAAGCTTTGTTTCCATTTTTCCCTATTTCACTTCTTTTCTTGCCCCCCCTTTTTAATCCTTCCCTCCTCCCTTATTCCCCTTCCCAATTTCTTCCTATTTTCCAATATCTAGTACACATTTTAGTCCTTATTTCCACTTTCGGTTTCTCACACCAGAGAAACAAAGTGATATTTAAACATGGGTGTCCGATTTAATTCACTTAAAAGCATGAACGTTGCTTGTTATACATTAAGTCTCCTGTGCTAGAAGATGGCTCGCTACACCGATTTCCGTGCTGTTTCCAGCGTGCCCAACGCCCAGCCACAGCAGGGGACAGCACAGAGGCCCACCCATACCCTGGCAGTAGCACTGGGGCCGGTCCCACTCCTGCCTTTTCGGGGTGATGCTGGGTACCTGAGAGGTGGACCAGGCAGCAGTGGAGCTGCACTGGGGTCCAGGAGAAAGAAATCGTTTTCCTTCCTATTTTAGAACTCACAGAACAGTTAAGGAGGTTTTTACCCCACAAGACTCTTTAGAGATAAATTTAGGAAAATTACCTTTCTTCTCTCCAAGATGCCCTTTTCGTCACCCGAGGGGATTGTCAGTGACCGCCCTGTTGGAACGTGCCTGCTCTGCTGGGCACACAGTAGACTTGGCTGCCAAGCCTGGCTCCCCTGGGCAGTATGCTTCAGACTGGAGTTTTCCAGGGGCAAATGTATAACAGTGTTCAGCCGAGCAAACTCTAGGGCTCACCAACAGAAATAGTCTTGAGACCTTTTTTTGGAGGCAGAATCTTGCTGTGTAGTTCAAGCTGGCCTTGAATTCATAGCAATCCTCCTGCCTGGCACGCCCAAGTGCTGGGGTCACACACAGCCCGGGGCACTTTGTAATAGATGTGGCATACCTAGGGCAGCAAAGACAGGCTGGTTCTCTGGTTTCACCCTGGTGACACCTGAGACACCTACTGTCTCACATCCATTCCGTGGGTGAAACCCAAGATAGGAGGGGAGTGGTGGCCGGGCTGACACCGGGCAGCTCGTGGCAGAAGCCAGGGAGGATGGGATTTCTTGGCTCAGATACGAGTCGGCCTGGGGACACAGACACAAGACACTGACACATGGCAGGATGGAGGCCAGTCTCCCCTGGCCCAGGCGACCAATGAGGAGAGAGAGAGCTTGAGGGAAAGACCTGAGGCCTGCTGCCGGGGACGCCCTGCTTTCTCCTCTGGTGCCCTCCCTGAGACTTTGACCCTCCTCACAGGGGTGTGTGTGTGGTGACTGGAAGGCACCGCTGTGAGCGCCTCCCTTTCATACTGCCTTCCCCTCGGTCCCCCACAGGAATGGCCTCCAGCACCACCCTTCGTGCCCATGGAGCCCTGGCCTCAGCCTGCCCCTCTGCCTATGTAGAACCTCCCCGCGGACCGTGGAGGAGCTGGGCAGCGGCGCCAGCACGGCAGACCTGCGGCTCTAGCAGGGGCGCCCTGTGCCTCGCACCCCTGCTGTCCGCGGGGACAGGCCTGGAGCGCAGTACCAGCAACCGCAGTGGGAACACGCTGGGCGAGCTTGGAGCTGCCTCCTCCCTGTCGGAGGCCCCACGCTAAACCCCAGTGACATCAAACCAGTGTGGATGCGTTTACCTTTTAAAGCCTGTTCACACCTCACAGACTGCACGACCAGGATCAAAATGACTGTACAAGGAGGTGCAGCACCGCATCTGGGGCCCCTCTCGCTTAGGGACAGCTTTGCTGACTTTACGTAGCTCGCTCTGCCTGCTCGCTGCTTTTGTCTGCTTTGGAACAAATCTTAGTAAGTGAATTGCAATAAAAATGTCTGCTAACTCTCGCTGTGGCACTGTCCCTCCAGAGGTGGTAGTGCCCTGTGGTCTGCTGCACCTGGCAGGCCACTGGCAAAGCCTGCAGACACCACCAACTGCTCACAACAGGTGGCAGAGTCTGCAGCCCGCTCCAAGGACAGAAATCTCACCCTCACCCTCACCTGCACAGAGCGCAAGGCTCCTCCTGGAGGTGGCAGCACAGCCAGGCCCAGCAGGCGGCGCCTGTGCCCAGGAGAATGAATTGGCTGGCAATACCCGGAAGTTCTCAAGGCTGGCAGCTGCGCCTCTCCCTGGTCACTTTATGTGACCACAGATCTGAGCCCAGCAGTGGCCCTGGGCTGGATCGGGAGCCGGCACCACACTGACCCAGAAAAGCCACCCGTACCATCCAGGGCATTCGGGAAAGGAGGTGTGGGCTTCATTTTAAAAGTGACTGTGTCCTCTCGCCACAGCATTTGTAAGAGCTGTCATTTGGTATCCACGGGGTCGGGCCTTGGTTCCAGGACCCCTTGGGGATCTCAGATCCATCTCTGAGATGACACAGGATCTGCACAGAACAACACATCCCTTCCTGCATACTTTAAATCATCTCCAGGTTACGCACAATCATCTGAATACAGTGTGAATGTCAGGTAAATAATTGTATACTGTTGTTTAGGAAGGGACAAGAAAGAAAAGTCACTGCACGTTTATCCATTTGTTTCTTTCAGAATATTTTCAATCTGCAGTTGCAGATCCTAGGTCTGGAGTGGCGGCTGTATTTAAAATTCGGCTTTGTATTTTACACTCTGGTGAAGACTGCGTAAATCTATTTTCCACGGCACAGGATCTCCCCACCCCATGAATGGAAGATGATTTCACGGGTGGGGGGCTGGGTGTGGGCTCACCACATGGGGGGCAGTGGACTTGGGAAGAAGACAGGGACCAGGAGACGCAGAAAAGCGGGGGACTTTCCAAACCTGTGTCTGCAAACTCACTGAGGTGAACCCCAGCTCTGAAGTCCTTGTCACTGCCCCCTTCTAGCCAGAACCCCACTGTGCATGCTATTTCAAGGGGCCTGCAAGGGACGAAATCCCAGTGTGTGACAGAGAGGCACAATAAAGATTAGAATGGGCTGGCTGTGGTGGCCCGCGCCTGTAACCGCAGCACTCAGGAGGCTGAGGCAGGAGTTCAAGGCCAGCCTGAGCTCCTCAGCGAGACCCTGTTTTAAAACAACAAACCAAAAAGAGAAAAAGGGAGATGCAGAGAGAAGGAAAAGTGGCTTTTGCTGTGACGGTCCTTGGATGAGGCCAACCGGAACACGCACACAGGATGTCAGCTGAGAATGTTCTCAAAATATCCTTGCAGGGGTTGTGGGGGAGGGGATCAGAGAGACAAATGGCTTCCCCTTCTAGACAACAAGCCCTGCTTGTGCTGACGGTTTGTACACAGGTAAGCATTCCTCTTGCCTCCATTAAAATCTTAGGTTGTTTAAAACAAAGGATTCTAAGGAGCACTGGTGGTGAACAAAGGGGTAAAACTCCTAGCCGAGCTATCCCGGCGCTGTGTATGGTACGCAAGACAAATGGCTGCCCCAGTGCCAGAGACACTCAGGGACGCAGGGTGTGCAGAAGGGCCTCAGAGGGCCAGGTCGGTGTTTTACCCGGGAAATACAGACTTTTGAACAGACTATAAAACTAAAAAATCTCTTTTTTTCCTCATTTTTCCTTATTGGTACATTTTAGGTATACAGTACAGTTACATTCATTATTAGGATCTTGTCTCTTTTTTTTTGGGATCTTGTCTTTGAAACACAACTTTAAAAAACTAAAGGCTGCTCTCCCAAAGCAGAGCTCAAACCACTTTATACACTTTAAGCATTTAGTGTAACAACCTTTGATTTAATAAAATAATCACCACCAGCAGGCATTCATTCAGTCGTACAAAATTTTGTTACTACTTTTTAAAGAGCAAAATCTTTAAATATTTCTTCATACTCATCAAAAACTATGACAGAGCTTTCCTTTCCTTTTTTTTGGTACCGGGGATTGAACTCAGGACCTTGCGCTTGTGAGGCAGGTCGCGCACCACTGAGCTAAATCCCCAGTGTGACAGACATTCCAGACGTCTTAGCTTGAACATTCACCACTGGTTGTGTAACTGCAAGCAGGAGCTGGACCTGGATCTGGATCTGGACCTCTTCCTGAGGCATGGGAGCCCCCAGGGGGCAGGGTCTCACCTGCTCGAGTCCCCCAGGCGGTGGCCCAGAAGCTCTCCACCTCACTGCAGCCTGGTCACTTGTGCAGGCATTATCTATACTCCGTCCCGGTCCTCCGGTAGGGAAACTGAGCCAACATCCGGAACCCGTCATGTCATGCCTTCTCCAGGAACCAGGACGCCACCCAACTTCTAGAGCCCGGGAGCAGTTGCAGGAGTCACGCATCCGAGGCCAAAGCAGTGATGTCGCTGCAGAGCACGGCAATGGCCTCCTCCTTGCTTGGCGAGTCCTCTGTAGCCTCACACACCATCTGGGCATGGGTTAGGAGGGCGTCTGGCCGCCGAGCCCCCAGCCAGAGGTCCTTAATGTACATGGACACCAGGAACCCTGCGGAAGCTGAGGAAGATGGGATGAGGGCCATCAGGAGGGACACCTCTCGGCTGGAAGCAAGCCACCCGCCCACCATGGAAACTCGCCTGGGTCTCTAGGAACCTGCACCACAGCCTGGCAACTCCACTGAGCACACAGGCAAAAGTGGGTTTGGCTTGGCCTAAGGTTGTGTTACTTTAAGATGTACCTTTCCTCTGATGAATCTTAAGGATTTGTGTGTATGGATCTTAAAAGAGAAGTCATTATAGGCTGCCATCTGCCTGAGTCTGAGTGTCCATGCCAGGGCCAGCACTGAGGCTGTGCAGCTCTTCTGAATCACTTCATGGCCCCCCCTCTGCACCACAGGGTCCTCTGCAGGCCCCTCAGGGAAGGGACTGCTACCCTGGAGGAGGCGGCTGCTGGGCCTGCGCTGCTCACAGCTCTGCTCACCCCTGCAGTCAGACCTCTGGGCGCTCGTGCAACACCAAGCATGCTAACTGCAGGTGTGTCTGTGCTGGGCAGACACTTGCATACCTGTGCACAGCCACTCACCTGGCTGGGTGACACACCTGCCTTTGGGTTATGGTCAAGACTGCTCTGCACTAATGTCACTGAAGGCCAAAGCAGACTCTCCCTCCCTTCGAATTCAGTGTCAAATGGCAGAATCGTGCCTAGGGTTACCGAAACACTTCAGGAACCAAGCTGAGGAGGTTGGCAGAGGCCTGGCCCACTGCCCTGACCCTGCCCCCTCCTCACTCCCCCGCTTCCGGCCAGAGCACTGGCATTACCTCGAATGGTGCCATTCTCCTCCTGCACCGAGGACGTGCACAGGGCCTCTAGCATCTGGTGGAAGGGGCTCCCCGCGTGGCCCTGGGCCGCCACCAGCTGCAGCATGACCGTGTTGAACAGAAAGGCTGCATCGTGCATGGGCCCTGCCAGGCCCTCGGCACTGCAGAGGCGGCTGTACAGCTCAAACAGGCTCCTCCTCACGGCGCCGTCCCCAAGGAGGTTGGCCACGACCGCTGACTGTGGCAGAATGTGGCTCTTGAGCCAGCCCAGGAGCCCCACTGCCTCAGCCCTGCTGAGTGGGCTCTCAGCCACCGAGCGCAGCACCCAGCTGGCCACCAGGGAGGCAGCGGCGAGTGCAGGGCTGGAGGCTTCACTCTCTGGCATGGCCTGGTCCTGGGAGGGCTCAGGGCTGGGGATTACTGGCCCCCAGTGGGTCAGGATGGACCTCAGCAGGGCATGGCATTGCTCCTCAGTAGACGCTGCCAGCTCAGGCTGGGCTGTTTCCTCCTTGGCCTCCCAAGGCCTCCTCTTCCGGCCCCTCAGGGCCCTGGCTCGGGCTGATACAAGAGGCCTGTTCTTCTCCTTGAGCATTTCTATGGAGGCAGAGGGACAGGTGGTGAGGCCGCTGTCCCTCCTGTCCACACAGACCCTACTCAGAAGGTGGAGCAGCTCACAGGGCCTCTGAGCACCTGGCTCTCCTCTGACAGGGCCCTGACATGCATTCCACTGACTCACCATCTACTGTGACTGCAACTGTAATGAGCTCATTAATACGGGAGAAACCAGGTGTGGTGTGCACCTGTAGTCCTGGCTACTCAGGAGGCAGAGGCAGGAAGACTGCTTGAGTCCATCTGCTCAAAACCAGCATGGAAAACACGAAGAAAAGAGGAAGAGAAGAAAACAAAGGAAAGGAAGAAACAGAAAGCTATAGATGGCAGCATCAGATCTCCAGTCCAGGAGTCCTGGCTCCAGTCTGTCCTTTGAGTCCACATTATGGGGACCAGCAGCTCTCAGCCACCAACTGCCCGGCCCCCAAGAAGTGACACCTGGACACTCAGGCAGGCCAAGTGACTCATCCTACGGCAAAAGCTACAGGTGACCCAGGCCCACAACCCATCTAGGGCCCAAAGCCTTGGAAGCGGGGAGCCTCAGGGAGGGAGACACTGGCCACTCCAGACACTTACTCATCAGGTCCCTGATGCGGCAGCTCTCAATGGCGGCTCTCAGGTCCTCCTGGAGCTTCATGTCTCTCTTGATGAGGCTCCACTTGTGCAAGAGGACCAGGGCATCTTTGGTGGAGAGCATTGTCTCATTCACAGTGAATCGGCCCATGCCCTTGAAGGCCTGCAGGACAGTGGCCCGGTACCTCAGCACGGAGTCCAGTGTCTCAAAGAAGCTGCTTAGCTGGGCAGAGGCCAAGGTGGGCCTGTTTGGAAGTCAATGTTACAGACTGAGCCTACGAACATCACACATGGGCTACCCAGGCCCCACTCTTCCCTCAGGAGACACCCGGTGTAGCTGCAGTACACAGACAAGAGGAGGCACAGAGGGAGACCTGGAGCCCGGCCTCTGCCCTGGAGGAGTTTGGCTAAACTCAGCAGCCAAG